CTCTACTAACAAGGAAAGATTTTAATACAAAATACTCCAATTCTGCATCGCTTTGTTATACCAATTTCCACTGCAGAACAAACGATTAGAAAAAATGGAAAATAAAAGACCTTCTGCAAAACGTGAAACTTGTTTATACCCCCCAAAGAGAATTTGACGTTTATTTCTTTGTTTCGCAGAAGGTCTAAAGTTATACTAAATCAATATGATTGATGAGGTTTAGAACAGACCTCTTTTGAAACTCGATTTATGGTAAGAGGAGAAGTGCAAGCGAGCACCGCTTCGATAACAAAATTGCCATCGGAAATCAATGCAGGATACAATTGATAAAGCTTAAAATAACTGATAGATTTGTTATTTTTAAGTTAGATGTTTTTATTACGACCTACAAATTTCACTACTTTTGCTCAAAAAGCCTTGCCGTGGCTTGTATCCATTTGTTTCTTATGTTTTTTAATAGGAATATGTTTAGCTTTATTTTTTTCTCCGGAAGATTATAAACAAGGTGAAATTGTGCGGATTATGTATCTTCATGTTCCATCTGCATGGCTTTCCCTTGGAATATATGGATTGATTGCATTACTCAGTTTCATTTCATTAGTATGGAAAAATAGCATTGCAAGTATTTTGGCTCATGGTGCAGCACCTGCAGGGACTATGTTTGCTGCAATATGCTTAATTACAGGTAGCATTTGGGGAAAAGGCACTTGGGGTACCTGGTGGGTATGGGATGCAAGGCTCACCTCAATGTTAATCTTATTTTTTTTATATATTGGATATCTAGCATTGTGGAGCTCTTTTGACAACCAAGCAAGAGCTGAAAAATCAGCTGCAGTATTTGCCATTTTTAGCGCTATAAATATTCCTATAGTCAAATTTTCTGTAGACTTGTGGTCTACTCTGCATCAACCTGCAAGTATTCTCAAGAAAGGTGGCATAGCAATTGACAGCTCTTTATTATTGCCATTAATTATAATGTTTGTGTTTTGTGTGACACTATTTTTAATAGTCTGGATGCTATATTCCCTTCATCTAATAAATTTATGCAAAATCAAGAGGGAAATCACTATGCGATATTAGCCAACCT